TATACAACGTTACTGTAATATCCTTTGTTTTTTACATGAAAACGCAAAAAAATTTACATAAAACGATTCTAAATAAAATACCGCTCACGGTAGGAATACATGAAGTGTCGGTAGGTTTAGTGATAAATCCAATGCAACATTATTTTGAAGTTGTGTATATAATAAGTATATTATGAATAAGATGACCACACGTCTCGTTTTTGTCGGGATAATCCAGATTTTTAACAATTTAACCAAAGTCTCGTTCTTTTGGAAGAAATATAATTTTTACCACTGTATAGCATTAATATTGTTCAATAAATTTCTAAAGTTTTTATAATTGTATATTTTCATATATTTGTATTTAGAAGGTAGAATTATACAGAGTTTTTTTGTTAGCTCAAATTATCAAAATTATATTTTGAAATATTGGATTTAATTAAACACTAAACTTATCAAATGACCGTGTTTAGAATTTCCTGTATACAACGTTACTGTAATATCCTTTGTTTTTTACATGAAAACGCAAAAAAATTTACATAAAACGATTCTAAATAAAATAAAATATTTTGTTCATAATCAAATTGACTAAAATCTCATTTTATATTAAGATACATGGTTTTTTTTTAAGCGGACATTTGACCACACACATATACGCCACCCCTTAAAAATAACACCATGTATATGCATCTACATTTAAATAAATTTTGAATTGACTTGAAAATTGACCACTCACGGTAGAGATTTACAGATAATATATTTATGAATAAACTACATATCTATAAGTAATTTTAGTATTATTGACGATTTCCCTGTCATAAGATTTCTAATGTAAAGAAATTGATTTTGTGATTAGTAATAAAAAGAAACTACAGTTAATTGAATGATCTTTAAGTCGTAATTTGTCCGAATTTTGTTATTTTTTTTTTGTTACGTCTGAAAAAAATTAATAACTGGTCACTTTAATTATGAACAGAACATTTTTAAATCAAACATATTTTGTATTTTTAATGTTTCGTTTTCTATGAAATTATCTAAACCGTTTCGGGTTTTCCAAAAACGTAGATGATAAATAATATTAATTTTCCTAGTTGGCATTGAACAAATGTACAATATACGTAGTTTTTACTTCCTAATTTATTATTTCTGTCATATAATTATCGATTTACAAATGGCATTAAAATAATTGTATCTAAAAATTCGAATTAGATTATTATTAGAATCTCGTATTTCTTCTCATTTTACATTACATATATTCAATTTCCAAAAAATAGATGATTTATAAAACAAAATTTAATAGTAATTAAGGAAATTTAAATGAGTAACTTCGAAAGTTTCTTCACTAATATTTGAATTAAAATATGTTTGGATGAAACAAGATTTACAAATTAATTAATTCATTATGAAATATATCTGTAAGGATTTGGAAATAACATTTACATGAAAATACTCTAACAACTTCTCCGATAATCTACAAATATGTTGGTTGTATTGAGCCAACAGGTATAAATATATAACAATACCTCGCATAGTCCGGCTTCAATTATCTGGATTCATTGTTGTCAATAAAATATAGCAAAAGAATAATAAAATCTAAAAAAAATAATAGAACAGTCAAGTCTCTTTTTGTACGGTTTATTTTGTTACTCGATTAGTCCGATTTCAAATCGTCCGGAACTGATTACTTGGCCTATGAGTCTATGATAAATGTAATAAAGAAAGTTGAGATACAAGAGGTTACTTAATGAAATGGAAAAATGGACTTTGAAAATTGTTGAAAACTTTGTCTTTACAGTCTTTATGTCCTTGATATGTTAAATATACACTGTTTTGCAGATGCAGATAGTAAATTTTAAGTGAATCTAATATTGTTGTTCCACAATTGGAAATACATTTACTTTAATTTGAGATTCAAGAATACACCAGTAATTATTACAGGATTCTCGATTGGCATTTTGGTACTAATTCAAATAAATTAAGTTTAATTTGTATTTTAAGGACATTTTTTTTATAACAATTTATACAATATTAATGAGTTTGTTCACGGTCAAGTTAGAAATAATTGGTTCTAGAAAGTTATCAATAATACATTGAAAACAAGATATTTTATATATTTTTTTTGTTATGATAGACAAATTTCTTAGTTAAATAAATATTCTATTGTTAACTAATAAATACAAAAAAACTCTATTATTTAATTAATTTGCTTCTAATTTTTAAATTAATTAATTCCTTACATTTGGAGACTTTGTTGTAAAATTTCAAAATAATAAAATATTTTAAGTTATAATAAAAAACATAATCTATAAACGTAGTTTATAATTATGTAATACTTATGTCAGTGGAGATTCTAAACTTAGAATGAATTTGGTAAATACAAATTTTGTGATAAAGGGGAATTGGGTAATTTTGTAGTAATGTTATCAAAAATCTATATAATATTAAAAAAAAACGAAGCAAATAGAATATTGAAGTGCGCTTTAAAAAGAAAATAAAGTGGTCATTTAAAGAGCGAGAGATATCATCAATAAGCGGAGCAAAGTTCAATGCAATTAACGTTCACGATAAACAGTACAAAGTTTTGCGTTGAATTGTTAAAATTTGGTGTACCATACCTGAACATTGTTGCCCACCGATAATCCGATATGCAGATGGATGACATTGTCCTCCGGGCAGTCGATCGTGACCAATCCGTGCTTAATTTGATCGTTCTCGGTGACGTACTGAAAGTGATCCGGGCACGGGCTTCGAGCCTGATCGTCCTGTTGAGCCCGCACGTGGAAACCCAAATTACTTGAGGTCTTCAGTAGCACCAGTAACAACAGAGATTTAAATGAAGACATCCTCGGATGTCATAATAGTAGCACTTAATGTTGCATAACGCGGATCTATCGTGGAGATCGCATCAAGAACGCACCAAGTTGTAGTAGTTGGCAGGCCGCGCGATTCAACACTACACTACTAAGGTGTGGGACTGGTGTGCTGAGGTCTGCACTTCTTTCGGCTACCGCGGCCCAACAGGGAATTTATTGGGTTGGGGAAAAAACGGTGTACGCACTTGACAATCATTTACTTTTGTGAATGGTACTCGCTCCCAAACCACAATGATTCAGTCCTCTTTCTCTGGCAATCCGCTCTGGAAGGAGGGAATGTCCTTGCACTTCCTTCAATCACACATATGAATAATAATTGTTATCATTCCAATCAGTACGCACTTGATGTCTTCGTTTAATACATGACTAACGCTTTAGGTATTCAGACTTAGCAATCTTAGATCGATATAATTAAGTATATATAAACAAAATTAATCGAATTTATTGCTTTGAATAATGTAGTAATAATCTGTGAATTTTAAGCTTTATGCAAGTATTCCTATAGATAGTCAAGTTGCAACTGAAAATAATGTGTTTGTACTTGATTTTAATTATGTCTAATAATGTATTATCTATCTTCGATTAATTTAAATCTCAATTTTCTTTTTCATTATGTTTATGTTTGTATTGGTTTAGAAAAGACGGGGATTTCCAGGCATCAAAATAACATCTGTCAGCGTAATTATAAATAAATAATAATATAATCGATCACAGCACAGATTTGCTTCTTCAATTTGATTTCGTTTCCTGTATTAACAATCGAAAGTAATAGCGTAGTGAGCTATAATTATTTGTTCATTTTAAATTCAAATTAATAAACGTCCGAAATTAGCCGATAATAATCCTGAGAAGGCTT